TAATATATAATAAATAATAAATAATAAATTCATATGATATAGATAGAAGATATAAAAATTAAATAAATAATAATAAATAATAAAGAAATAATAAGAGAAATGATATAATAATAAATAAAATGAATAAATGAAAAGATAAATAAAATCAATATAATATAAATAAAATAATAATAAATATAAAAAGAAAATAGATATAAAATATAAAAATATAATAAAAATGAAAATAAGATAAAGAAATGTATTAATATATAATAAATTATATATAAATAGAAGTGTATTAATATATAAAATAAAATATAAATAATAAGAATATAAAACTAATAAAATATGATAAATATAATAATAAAGAGATAATATGATGATATATATAATATAAGAATAAAAATAAATATAATAATAAAATACATAAATATATAAAAATAAAATACATAAATAACATAATAATAACATAATAATAAAAATGTATACATACATTGAATCAAATATCATTTCTGAAACATTTATAATTCAGAACAATTTATCATAAAATGATATAAAATATAAACAAACATAAATGAATATAGAATGTGTACTTAATTTACATTTTTATTTTTTTATTTTTTTTAGGAGCAAAATAATAAAAACTATTATTTTATTGATTCAAAATATTTTGCTCTTTTCTTTTTTGTGGTTTTTTATTTAGATTCATTATTTCTTTGCTTATTTTGGTTCCCTACCAGAAACAGATATTCAAGAATATATAAGAAATGAATTTCAATAGTATAAAATGTATAAAGAATAGTAAAGATCAATGAAAAAGTAAAAAAAAAAGAGAAATAGAAATAAATAACGAAGAAAACATCAATAGAAAACATAGAATATCAACACAGAATAAAATTACAGTTAAAATAAGAAAATAAGAGATAAATAAAAAAGTAAATAAAAGAAATAGTATAATCAACAACAAGAAGTACATTCAGAAATAAAATAAATATAATTAAATTCAAATGTTATTTGTAATTTAAAAATATGTTTATTATTTTTATTACTTATTTTGTATTATTTAATGTTAAATTTAAAATCATTTTGAATTTAATGTTAGTGTTATTTATTCATTTAATTTAATAATGAATGATTTGATTAATCATCCTCTTATAAATTGTTTGTTAAATACAATTGTAAAAGATAGACAATGTTAAAGTGAATTAAAAAGAATGATAGAAGAAGAATGGAAAATATAAATGTTAATTATTATTTATTTATTATTGCACAATTAACTTTAATAATTATTATAAATGTTTTGAATCATTCATTAGAATGAGAATTATATTAAATTATATTCTCAAAAATGATAAAATACAAAACAATGAATAAAATGATTTCAATGAATTATTATAGATGCATTATTTTCATTTGATTTTTCTACTATCTATTTGTTATTTCATTGTTCATATTAGATTAATTATTAACAAATAAAATAATCAATTTATTATTTAAATGAAATGTATTATTTGTAAATCCAAATAATGAAGAATGTACTCATTAATACATCAAATGTTATTTTTTTGAAGAAGATTATTATCAAATTTAATATAACACAAAAACATTTGTATATATTTCTCATTCTTAACATCAGTAATTATACAATAAAACAATTATATTTTAAATGAATATGAAATTACAAATTTATTAGATTATTTAAAACATAAATTATAACAATAAATATAAACAAACATAATGATATATAGATAGAATAATGAAAATATAAATTCAAAGAACAATAATAAATATTTTAAAAGAAATATATGAAGTATGAATTAAAAATAATGAAAAATAATAAAACTACACCTTCAATAATGATAATATTGATAATGAAGCATGTTTATAATTATTAGAAATATGATAGAAATGATAGAAATAACATTAAACATAATAAAAATTAATAGAATAAGAATGTTAATGAATAATAAACAAAGTAATCAATTCAAGTTATTTTTCATCATTCATTTTGAATAATAAAATAATCCAATAAACAATAATAAAACCTATCTTATACCATAAAATTTGTATCTGACAATCACTCAAATATTAATGATATTCATACACACTTATTTTATTGTTTTACAATGAACATAATCAAATACATTTTTAAAATATTATATTAAAATATGTGAAATAGACGATTTGTTTATTTGTTGATTATCTATGTTAGATTAATGGAGTATGTGATTAGTTCATCATGTTATTTCTTAATCACTGGATTAACTATGATTTATTAATGAATACTATATTAACTAATAAACATAAAATATAATATTTCTAATATCCTTGAATGATTTAATGTAATTGTGATAAATGTTTAAAGAGTGTTATTGTTTGTTGAATTTGAATCCAATATTATTCAATCTTTGAACAATAGTTGTTTTGAAAATGTACATGACCACATCTGTTACTACACTATCAACAATCATTGAATTAGGAATTATTTTAAAGAATGTAATTATTAAAATAAATAGTATTTTAATCAACAATTTAGAATATGATTATGATTATGTTGAAGTTCAGAAGTTAAAAAGGAATAAAGTGTTAAAGAAGATGTAATATCATTAGATGGTGTTGTGTTATTGTTAGTTAAAGTGATAATTTCATTGATTTAATGTTTTTGAATACAAAGAAGATAGAAATGATGTGTATGAAGAATGATATAAGGAGAAGATAACAAGAAACAGAAAGAATGTGAATAACAAAAAGGATGAGTAAAATCAAAGGGATATTCAAATGAAGAAGGGTGAGAATAAAAATGATACAAGAAGAAGAAATAAAGAATGTAATTATGATAATGAGCATAACAAATTAAGAGATAAACAAACCATGAAAGATAATGGCAATGTTAAATTGAAAGTGATGTAAAGAAGAGGAAATAAAGGAACAAAGGAAAAGAAGTGAAGAAGAAAGAAGAAATGATGAATGAATAAAATAAAATAAAAAATGAAGAATAAAAAAGAAAAAGAAATAAAGAGAATTCAAACATGTATGAAAATTCTAATTTAGTTTATTCACTTTAATTTGATTGTTCTTCATTCAATCATCTCTATCACTCTATTATTCTCGTTTCGTCATTGCTTCATTAGACTATCCATATTTATCACTGCAACTTCTTTTCTAATCTGTTGAATTGAATTATCATTAAGAAGTGATGATAATCATATTAATCATTAACACACAAATCATTTGTTGACATTCTATTGTTTAATTGTAGAAGATAACATAAGACTAACAATATAAAAGAAATAAAAGAAGAAATAAATAAGGAGAAGATACAAAGACAATAAGAAAAGTGAAGAAAGAAATAAATAAGTTGTATCTGAAATAACAGAGTAATGAAAGTAAAAAAAAAGAAATTGAAAGAAAGTGATAAACCGATAGGGAAGTGAAATTGTAGTTTTCCTATATATTATTATTCTTTTGCATTAGTTTATTTTTATTTCATTAAGGCTTAAAAGTAGAACATTGAGATACCACACAAACCTTAAAATGAAATCAAAAATTAAACACTCAGTTATTTTCTTGTTACAATGTCGTCTTTAGTGATAATTTCTCATTCAAGGTTGATGTTGGTTGTTATTTATTAAGAATTAGTATGAACGAGTGATAAAGGTGTATTATTAATTAGGGGATAGAGTATTGTTTATTTATTATGATGAAATATTATTTATTAATGAAAATTTAAAGTTGAATATGAAATATTATCAACAATTAAAATTGGTTCTACTGGTAGTTGTTGATATTAAAGAAAATGAAACATGTTCATAATGGTGTTGACGTATTTTTATTAAAATAACATTGTAAATAATAACCAATTTCAATACTCATTAATTTTAATTTAAGATTCAAACAAATTAAATGAAACATTTAATTTGAGAATGACCAAAAGAATTTTAATCCTTAGAAATAAAAAAGTATTGATGAAATTAATTTACTTATTTCTCAAATGATGAAGTACTAAGTATAAGTAAATCGTCATTGAATATACTTAATGTCTATTTGATATAGTGTCTATAATTATCGTTAAATAAATAGAATTTCATTTAATCTATTTTACATTCGGTGATTATAAGTAGTGTTACTTTAGAAAGAGATGAAATAGGTAGTTGTGATAATGGAGAAGTGAATAATCAAATGTTTTACAAGTGTTACAAGTTATGACAATAATATTATTCATAAAAATGCATTTGGTCATTGTACTTTTTGATAGTATTGTATTAATTGGTTATTCTATTCAATTACGTTAATCCAGTTTTATTGGTTTATTATCATTTTTATTAATTTCTATTTCATCTTTATTAAACACTAATTTAGATTGAATGTCATTAAAAATGATAGATAGGTTAATATGAATATTATCAATTTCATTTAACGAATATTGATTATTGTATGTCATCTTTAATAGTATAATATGTAAAATAAGAATATAACAAATGATAGCCATTATATTTCATATTTAATAAATCATCATTTATTAATGGTAAATGATAAAATAAAATAAAACATTCGTTTATTAAATTCATTGAATAATTTAATTATTTATTTTTCATTTTAAATGATTTATTATCTTTTTTCTTCTTTTTCAATACACTCAACATTTTAATGAACATATTCATTGAACAATCGGTACAATAAATAAATCAGTAATAAATGAATAAACAAATAACAATTAAATTAATTATAATAAAAATGAGGTGAATTTAATATTTGTATTCTTTCATTCTTTTAGAAAATGAAGACAATTGTATTGGTGAGTGAATAGATGAAGAGAGAATAAATAAAATTAAATAGTGGTTAAATTAATTGAAATATTTCATACTATAAAAAAGATAATATTCCTCCAATAAATAATAAAGAATTACATTTAATTCAAAGCCTCATCTCAGTTCAACGCACATTTGTTCTATCCTATACAAATCACTTGTGACATTCTTTATTTTGATTAACTGCAAGTTATGAAAAAAGAAATAAAAAAAATTAATCGAAAAATAAAAACGAACTAAAAATTATAGTTTTAGATTATAAGAAATAATTTTAAATAATTTTATTATTTGGTTTATTTGAAAAAAAATGAGAAATTAAATAAACATTTAATTAATATTTAGTTTTTAAATAAATCATTGAAACTTAAAAATAATAATTAGTATAAAAAGAATGAGTATGAATAAAGAAGAGGTAAAGATAACTAAATTGGTTATTATAGGAAATAGCAGAGATGGAAAAAGTTCATTAGGTAATTTTATATTAAAGAAAAATGCATTTGTTGTAAGGAGTACAGAAGGGCTTGAAAATAAAGAAATAGTAGGGGAATATGGAGAAGGAGATAGAAGTGATATATTTGTCATTGACACACCAGGAGTTCAAGAATCAGAAGAAATGAATAAAAAATGGATAAACCAAATGATTGATTCTATTAAAAAAGAAAGAGAACTACATGGAATAATAATTGTATTTAATTTTAGTCAAAATAAATTTTCACAAATTAGTAAGGAAATGATTAAGAGGGTTTATAAAGAAATTGAAAATACCGAATTTTGGCAACATTTATGCATCATATGGACAAATTGTTATTACCACATTCCTAAGTTAGTAAAAGAAAGGAAAATAAGTAAGAAAAGAGAAGAGTATCAAAAAGAAATAATGAAACTTGTTATAGAAACAACAGGAAATGAAGAGTCTATTGATTTTCCAATGTATTTTGTTGATTCACAACCAGAAGGAGGAGAAGATAATACTAGATCCGAAGCAGAAATAAAAAAGTTTTTAGAATGGGTTAGAAGCATACCACCAATGAATGTTAAGAATATTAAGAGTAATAAAATGAAATTAGAACAAAATGAAATAATGATAACATCAATGTATTTTAATGATATTAATGACTTTATTAATTTAGAATTAGGTATTAAAAGATTTCAAGGAAATATGGAAAAACTTCATTTTAATCCATTTCCATTAAACTATTATTCAAGAAAATTATTTCCTAATATTGAAACATTTCATATTTATAATAAAAGTGATGAAATATTTAATGATGGAAGAATAAATAAATATGTAATATGGTATCAAGTAGAATATTCAAGATGTCTAAAGGAGAAAGAACAAGGAAATATATGTAAAAATGTGGTATATACAAAGGAAAGTAGAGAGAAATATGGAGATACAATACCACCTGAAGTTACATCAATTGGAGATGAATGTTTTAAGTATTGTTACGATATGAAAGAAATTAATTTACCAACAAGAATTAGTGAAATAGGAAATGAATGTTTTTATAAATGTGGAATAAGAAGTATTAGTATACCAATAACAATTAGTAGAATAGGAAATAACTGTTTCGAAGGATGTAATTCGTTAAGTAAGATCAATATACCAACAACAGTTAAAGAAATAGGAAAAGAATGTTTTGAAGGATGTTTTTCATTGAGTGATATGAGTATAGAAAATATACAATTTGTTAGTGAAGAAAGAATACATATAAATGAACCAGTATTAGTTAGTATTGAAATACCAGATAATTTAGAAAGAGTTAATGGAAGAATTATAGAAAGAAGAAACATTAATGAATTTAATATTCCATCATCAATTAGTAAATTAGGTAATAGATGTTTTGAAGGATATGAATCATTAACAAGAATTGATATACCAACAACAGTTAAAGAAATAGGAAATGAATGTTTTAATGAATGTACATCACTGACATCACTTAATATACCAACAAGTGTTAGTAAAATAGGAGATGAGTGTTTTAGTAGGTGTTATTCATTACAATCAATTAATATACCATCATCAATTAGGGAAATAGGATATAAAATATTTAAAGGATGTTCATCATTAAGACTTATTAATTTAGGTAAAATAAAATTCATCAGTGAAGAAAGAATATTTATGAATGAACCAGTATTAATCAGTATTGAAATACCAGAAAACTTACAAAGAGTCAATAGAAAAAAAATTAAAAAGAATGACATCAATGAATTTATTATTCCATCATCAATCACTAAATTAGGAGATTATTGTTTCGAAGGATGTTCAATGTTGAAGTCAATCAATATACCAACATCAGTTAGGGAAATTGACAGTCATTGTTTTGAAAAGTGTTCATCAATAACAACAATTAATATACCATCAACAATTAAAGAAATAGGAAATTATTGTTTTTATGGATGTTCATCATTAACAACAATTAATATACCATCAACAATTAGTAAAATAGGAGATAAATGTTTTGAAGGATGTTATTCATTAACGTCTATTACTATATCATCATCAATTAATGAATTAAGAAAAGAATATTTATCTCAATACAAATCATTAAAATCTGTCATTATACCAACAAGCATTAATAGAATAGAAGATGAATGTTTTGAAGGATGTAGAATGTTAACATCTATTAATATACCAACAAGTGTTATTAAAATAGGAGATAGATGTTTTAGTGAATGTTCATCAATAACATCTATTAATATACCAAATTCAGTTACTAAATTAGGAGATTATTGTTTTAGTTATTGTTCATCAATAACAACAATTAATATACCATCAACAATTAGTAAAATAGGAAATTATTGTTTTTATGGATGTTTATCATTAACAACAATTAATATACCATCAACAATTAGTAAAATAGGAGATGATTGTTTTTCAGGATGTTCATCAATAACATCTATTAATATACCATCAACAATTAGTAAAATAGGAGATGATTGTTTTTATGGATGTTTATCATTAAAATCAATTAATATACCAAATTCAGTTACTGAATTAGGAGATTATTGTTTTAGTTATTGTTCATCATTATCATCTATTAATATACCAAATTCAGTTACTAAATTAGGAGATTATTGTTTTTATGGATGTTCATTATTAAAATCAATTAATATACCATCAACAATTAGTAAAATAGGAGATTATTGTTTTAGTTATTGTTCATCAATAACAACAATTAATATACCATCAACAATTAGTAAAATAGGAAATGAATGTTTTTATGGATGTTTATCATTAAAATCAATTAATATACCATCAACAATTAGTAAAATAGGAGATGAATGTTTTTATTTATGTTATTCATTACAATCAATTAATATACCATCAACAATTAGTAAATTAGGAAATTATTGTTTTAGTTATTGTTCATCAATAACAACAATTAATATACCATCAACAATTAGTAAAATAGGAAATTATTGTTTTTATAAATGTTCATCAATAACAACAATTAATATACCATCAACAATTAGTAAAATAGGAGATGATTGTTTTTATGGATGTTTATCATTAACAACAATTAATATACCATCAACAATTAGTAAAATAGGAGATGATTGTTTTTATGGATGTTTATCATTAAAATCAATTAATATACCATCAACAATTAGTAAAATAGGAGATGAATGTTTTTATTTATGTTATTCATTACAATCAATTAATATACCATCAACAATTAGTAAATTAGGAAATTATTGTTTTAGTTATTGTTCATCAATAACAACAATTAATATACCATCAACAATTAGTAAAATAGGAAATTATTGTTTTTATAAATGTTCATCAATAACAACAATTAATATACCATCAACAATTAGTAAAATAGGAGATGATTGTTTTTATGGATGTTTATCATTAACAACAATTAATATACCATCAACAATTAGTAAAATAGGAGATGATTGTTTTTATGGATGTTTATCATTAACAACAATTAATATACCATCAACAATTAGTAAAATAGGAGATGATTGTTTTTATGGATGTTCATCAATAACATCTATTAATATACCAAATTCAGTTACTGAATTAGGAGATTATTGTTTTTATGGATGTTCATTATTAAAATCAATTAATATACCATCAACAATTAGTAAAATAGGAAATTATTGTTTTTATGGATGTTCATTACTAACAACAATTGATATACCATCAGGAAAGGGTAAAATAGGAGATGAATGTTTTTGTGGACATTCATCATTAAAATCAATTAATATACCATCAACAATTAGTAAAATAGGAAATTATTGTTTTTCAGGATGTTCATCATTAACAACAATTAATATACCAACAAGTGTTATTGAAATAGGAAATTATTGTTTTAAAGAATGTTCATCATTAACAACAATTAATATACCATCAACAATTAGTAAAATAGGAAATTATTGTTTTTATGGATGTTTATCATTAACAACAATTAATATACCATCAACAATTATTAAAATAGGAGGTGATTGTTTTTATGGATGTTTATCATTAAAATCAATTAATATACCATCAACAATTAGTAAAATAGGAAAAGAATGTTTTTATGGATGTTTATCATTAACAACAATTAATATACCAACAAGTGTTATTGAAATAGGAGATGATTGTTTTTATGGATGTTTATCATTAACATCTATTAATATACCATCAACAATTAGTAAAATAGGAGATGAATGTTTTTATGGATGTTTATCATTAACATCTATTAATATACCATCAAAAATTAGTAAATTAGGAGATAGATGTTTTAGTCGATGTTCAATATTAACATCTATTAATATCCCAACAAGTGTTATTAAAATAGGAAACAAGTGTTTTGAAGGATGCAGAATGTTAACAACAATTACTATATCATCAACAATTAGTAAAATAGGAAATGAATGTTTTTATGAATGTTCATCATTAAAGTCAATGAGTGTAGAAAAGATACAATATATTAGTGAAGAAAGAATATTTATGAATGAACCAGTGTTAATTAGTATTAAAATACCAAAAAACCTAAAAAGAATCAATGAAAAGAATATTGAAAAGAAAGATATTAATGAATTTATTATTCCAATTACAGTAAATAAATTAGGTGATTATTGCTTTTATAAATGTTCATCATTAAAATCAATTAATATACCTTCATCGATTAAAGAAATAGGAAAATATTGTTTTAAAGAATGTTCATCATTAACATCAATTAATATACCATCATCTGTTAGTAAATTTGGATGGGGATGTTTTTATAAATGTGGATGTAAAGAAGAATTAAAGAAAAATAAAAGAATACCAAGAAATTGTTTTGAATGGTGGTGAATGAAATAAAAGGACAATAAATGAAATACAATATAAATTGAAGTAGAAATAAATTATAATTGATTATCATTTATATTATTATTATTCTTTTCTTATTTATTCTTTTTGATATTATTCTTTTTTATTGACTTAAAATATTTATTATTATTTATTGTATATGTTTATTATTTCTTATATCTTCTATTTTATCATATTTATTTATTATCTTTTATATCTTTATTATTATTTTATTATTGTTTATTATTCTTATATTCTATATTTTAACTTATGATTTTCTATTATTAAATATAAATTAAATGAATTTGATATTATAGATAAATAAATATCAATTTTATTAATCTATTTGTATTTATATAATATAAATATCAATAAAATTAAATTATAAGTTAAAATAAATGAAATATGAATATGAATAATATTAATAAGAAATGAAATAATTAAATAATAAGAATATATTTAAAATATAAATATCAAATACATGAATAAAATAAATAATATAAATAATAAAATATAAATCAAAATAAATAAATAAAATAATGAATAATAATCAAATATTAAAACATGAATATATATTTAATCAAATATATAAACATATATTAATTACATATTTTATTAAATTTAATGAAAATTGATTTTAATATATATCATAAATGTATATTAATAATAATATATTCTTATATTAAATTATTGATTTATTTATTAATAAATAAATGAATAGAATTAATATTTATATTATATTTTATATCATAATATGTTGATTAAAAATAATAAGTATTTTATAAATGAATATATTTCATTTAATTATTTTATTATTATTTCTTATTATCGAATTTTATAATTTCTTATTATTTCTTTTTATATTATTATTATTCTCATTTGATGTATTATTATTGAATTAAATCAATAGAATAAAATGATAATGATGAATAATGATAATAAAATGATAATAAATAGTAATAATAGATAATGAAAATCATAAGAATATAAAAGAAAATAT